GGCTTTATTTGGATGGAATGTTCTGTAGAGATCTGTCAGACCCTTTTGTTCAAGAGTTCTGTGTAAGTCCATTATTTCTTTGCTTATTTTCTGTTTGAAAGATCTGTCTAGTTCATTCAGTGGAGTGTTGAAGTCCCCTGCTACTATGACATTGTTGTTTATCAAGCTATTTAGATCAGATAAGGTTTCCTTTATGTAACTCGGTGCTCCTACATTAGGCACATAGATATTAAGAATTGTTAACTCTTCTTGTTGGATCCTCTCTTTCACCATTATGTAGTGGCCATCTTTGTCCTTTTATACTTTTGCTATTTTAAAGCTTATGTTATCTGAAAATAGTATAGCTACCCCTGCTTTCTTTTGACTTCCATTTGCCTGGATGATATTTTTCCATTCCTTGACCTTTAGTCTGAAGGCATCTTTGTGGGTTAGATGCGTTTCCTGTAGACAGAAGATACTAGGCTTGTGGATTTTTATCCACTCTGCCAGTCTGTGTCTCTTCAGAGGACAGTTCAAGCCATTCACATTTATTGAGAGGATTGAGATTTGCGGTAGATTTCCATTCATAATGATGGGTGAAATCCTGTTGTTTTGTTTTGCTCCTTGTGCCATCATGAAAACCACTTTCTAGGCTTTGACTCTTGAATGCTTTAACTTTGAAGAGTGTCTATTGCGGTGTTCAGTGTGTAATACAGGTCTGAGTACTTCCTGTAGGGCTGGTCTTGTCTTTGCAAATTCCATCAGTGATTGCTTGTCTGGGAAGGACTTTATTACTCTCTCATAGATGAAACTTAATTTTGCCGGATAAAGAATTCTAGGTTGGGCATTATTCTGTTTTAGTAGATTAAGGATAGGGACCCAATCCCTCCTGGTTTGTAAGGTTTCAGTTGAGAAGTCAGCAGTTAGTCTGATAGGCTTTCCTTTGTAGTTTATATGTTGCTTTCGTATCACTGCTCGGAGAATTGCTTCTTTCGTGTTTACTTTGGTCAGCCTAATAACTACGTGATGTGGTGGTTGCTTTTTCACATTGAGTTTCCCAGGAGTTCTTTGTGCTTCTTGTATCTGGATATCAAGATTTCTGGCGAGGCCTGGATTGTTTTCCTCTAGTATTCCATGAAATAAGTTTTCCAGCCCTTGTGCATCTTCTTCTTCTCCCTCTGGAAGACCTATGATCCTAAGATTCGGTTTTTTTACATAATCCCACATTTCTTATAAGTTTTGGTCTTGTCTCTTATTTATGATTTCTTTTACTTCATCTGATTTGTTCAGCATGTAGACATTATCTTCAGGCTCTGAGATTCTTTCCTCTGCATGATCCATTCTATTCTTGAGACTTTCTACTGTGTTTTGAAGTTCCTTGAATTCCTCCTTCATTGACAGGATTTCTGTTTGGTTTTTCCATAGTATTTTGATTTCTTTGGAGAATTTTTCATTCATTTCCTGGATTGTTCTTGTGGTTTCTTTATGTTGAGATTCTATTTTCTCTTCAATTCCATTGAGTTTCCTTACAATCCATAATCGGAATTCTTCCTCTGTCAGTTTAATCATATCATGTATGTTGGTATCAATTGATGGAGATCGAATATTTTCTATTGCAAGTGATTTTTCTCTCTGATCTTTCATGTTTCCTGTGTTCTTTCACTGATTCTTTCTCATCAGGCTACTTTGTCAAGGACTGGAGGTGCTGGGACTGGTTAATGGACTTAATTTGGGGACTCCAGAGGGGCATTCCTTGGCAGAGCTGAGGAGATGTGCCCTGGTCCTGTATTGTCTTCATGGAGTTTTAGCCTGTTGGGTTATCTCTGGCCTGTTATCTTCACCTTCTGCTTATGGAGATTAGTGAGTTTCTTTTCCTTCCTTAGAATCCCAGGAGTTGGATCACTTTGTGTATGTGACTCCACTATCTACCACTTGGTTGAGATGGAAGGTACTATGTTGAGCTATAAGGTTACTCTCTTTTTTGTTGCTTGTATTTTGCGTGGAGGAGTCGGTTATCAAGGTATTCCAATGCTTTTGTATTGAGCTGTAAACCCCCAAATGGGACATACAGGTGCCTCAGTCTTTGGGGAATGTCTTGCCACTCCCAAGGGTTACTTGAGCCCTGTTACTACTTTAGGAGGGGTGAGAAGAGCAACAGGAATCAGCGAGCCTTAGAGAGTATACTTCAGAGGTTGCTTGATCAGCAGCTAGGAAAAAGCTGCTAATATGTTATTCAGGGCTCTTTTGCCCCTCTTGTGGAGCAGCTCCTGATGGATGTGATAATTGGTACAATCACTCAGGACTCTGGTCGAGATTTTCCTTCCAAGATCACAAGCCCCTAAGATGAAAATGGCCTGGGCATCAAGGGCAAGCCATTGTGTTATGATCTTATCAGATGATCAAATCCGATCAGCTGTACCAAACCAACAGACTGTCCCGTTTTGCTTAGATCCAAGGTCACACAGGTTCCAGCTAGTCCTATGGGGAAAGCAACTCTTCTTCTTTCTCCCTTCCTTCAAGGGCCAAGACTGTCCTGGAGGGCTGTTGGAGGGGCGTCGGCTAGGACTGTCGCAAAATCCAGCCTGGAAAGTGTCTACTCTCGTTTCTCCTCTCCTCTGAGGGTGGGTTTTGCCCTGCCAGAGGGGGAGATATCTCGCCAGACTGAGGGAAAGATACTTCCTGGGACTACCAAGCGTCTCAGATCAGGAAGTGGCTACTCTCGTTATTCCACTCCTTCAAGGGTGGGGTTTGTCCAGTTGATAGGAAGTGCACACCTCCAGGTCTGCTGGAGAAGCCCTGTCCAAAGCCACTGAGGGACCCAGACCAGAAAGCGGCCTGGCCCGCTACTTCTCCCCAGCAGATGTGGGGTCAGTCCCTTTGGTACGAAATACCAGTGGCCTGATTGCAGTCAAGGGCCGTCTGCAGCCTCTGAAGGTCTCAGCCCAGTGAGCAGCTTCCCTTGCCCCTCCGCACTTCCAAATGTGGGAGACTGTTTCTTTGGCGGAAGGAGCTGGCTATCAAGTCACAACAAAGAGGTGGCCATGGGTCCCAGCTGGGAAAATAGCGTACTTTACTGCTGGGCCCTAACCATTGTGGAGTCTGTCCGTATGTCAGGCAATACCAGCTACCAAGTCTTAGCAGAGAGGTGACCGCGTGTCACAGCTTGAAAAGCGGCCTTTTTGGTTACTTCACACTCTTAGGGGTGCGAGCTGTCTCTTTGGTGCAGAATAGCCCAGCCGCGGAGATGGAATGAAGTAGCAGCAGCGCTCGTGGGTTTCAGAGAAAAA